CAGCTCGGTGTGGGATTCCGAAAGAGCGTCTGCGAAGGCGGCGGAGAGGATAGGGGAGGGAAAGAGGACTGGGGGACGATGCCGTATAAGAGAGACGAAGTTATAGCCTGCCAACCGTCTAAACAAATAACGGAGAAAACCAAACACAAAAGCAGCGTTCTTTTTCTTTTTTAGTCATCTAGGAAGAATGTTTAGCTAGGAATTCTGAGCGATCACAACCTGTGCCTACTTTCGATGTAAGGCTGGACTGTCAACGCGTTTAGTGTACCCGGCAGTGTCGCTGCAGTTACGTTGCATGCTCAATCTGTACGATTGTTTTATTTCTGTGTGCTGTAACTAAAAAAGGGGGGAACCCTTTAAACAAAAACAAGAAGTGTGTGTGTTTTGTGTTTGTTTAGATAGCGGGAAGTTAGTCAGTCCCAGTGGACGTCCGGGCTCTCTACTGTAGATTATAAATGTAACCGATAGTCAACTTTCCACTGGAGGGCAGAAGGGGCCGGTCAGGATGGTGACGACCGATGGTGACGTTCGCCCGATGCAAGTCCCCCGGGAAGTTGATAATTAAAAAAAAAATACTAAAGGTGTTTCGATCCCGCTGGACACATTACGACGTTGGTAGGTTTACGGTGGCCAGTGTGGCCACGTTTATTTTCAAAACAAAACGACAAGTCAACGGTAATATACAAAACTTCCAAAATTAAAACCCCATACTTTAGTCCCCAGTCTCAAGAGCCGAATTCCCCCGAGAATCCTCTCGGCAGCCCTTTTCTAGACTCGTAGAGGCCTCCTTTCCCTCCAGAGACGGACCAATCATTTCAAATTCCACCACTCACACGTGGTACACTGTTATCCAATGGTCGGCGAGCTGTCATCCTGGCGCTCCAACCGCCAAACCTAAACTCCTTGTAGAGTTGTTCTCTGCAATTTTCCCAGTCTGACTGGCGCCAACCGCTAAGTTATTGCATCGGGCAAAAAGCGACAATTTTACACTAAGCGGCAAAACCCTCTATATACAGGCACATTCGTCTAAAAGCCACAACCAGCTGCAAGAAGGGATCTGTCCGAGCAGACTCCCGAAACCCGAGACGTTTCTTAACGACCGCGGAGGAAACCGCTCCCACCTCCCGGCCGCTCTGCCCACGCAAATGCTCCCTCCAAAACGCCGACACTCACAAAGCAAGCTGAAAAAAAAAAAAAAAAAAGGAAAAAAAAAAAACGATGCCGACGCAACTGTAGAAAGATAGACTTTTCTAAAACAAATCTTATTTATTTCTAACAAAATCCTTCGTTACTTAACACCGATGAAGGATACCAGCTAAAACGGTGTCTTTAAACACGCATCAAGCAGTAGTGATACACGACCGCACGCCGGTACGATGCTCATCCAGATCGAACCGGGTGAAAATGGAAATTGAACCCAGGATCCCTGAGTTCTGCAGCACGAGAATGCTCGGGCTGTAGAACTAGACACTCGGCTACCAATCCCCATCCCGAAGTCTATATTCCTTTCGTAGATTAGGATTAAAATGCTGTAATTATTACGAGAAATCCGCCTACGCTCGTGAGTTATGCCGTTTCTTCGCATCCTAACTTACAGTGCCTGCGGCTGTTTGTACGCCCTCTCGCTATTTTCATTTCTCACAGCAACGCAAGAAAAGCAAGCAAACCGGAAGTGGTCGACACATGAGACAAACACGAAAGTAAATCCTCTTCGAGACAAACACTTTTTTCTCCTTCGCCGACTTCCGAAGAACAAAGATCCGCGCGGTAAGCGAGACACCGCATACACGACCTTGTTAACCGCGCGATCCTAACAAAGAAAAAGGATCCTTCTCGACTCCTTCACGCGAGGAGCGGGGGTTCGTATATATCGCGACGCGCGCAGGCAGGCGCCACGGGACGCCAGGTCAGAGAAAAAAGAAATGCTTGATTCGGCGGAAGACAAACTACGCTGAAGGTTGTTGCACGTGCAGTGCGCGAGCGCTCGGCGTGCACTTCCGACCGCCCACTCGCACACGCGCTCGCTCGGAAAGCTCTGACCCCAATCTGACAGCAGCCCGTGCGGGGGTCCGAGCGTGGTACTTTTTCTTCCTCGTGGAAAACAAAAAATGGAGGAAAAAAACGAGTGAAAATGTCAAAGAAAGCCGCCGTCGCGTCACCTCCCCGCGGAAGAAATTCCAAGACGGTGACAACGTCTGCGAGTCGGTGGGCCAAGAGCAAATGTTTCCCACGCGCCTTGACTCCGAATTGGAGAAACTCCAGGCTCCTCGCGTCGCACGTTTCGGGACAACTCAATGTCAGCGTTTACTAGAGCGAGTGACACTTCCCTACTCGTGTCTACGTGAATCTTCATTTGACTCGGTTTTGTTTTTATTTGGTCTTCGGTATAGGAACTAGACCGCAGCGGCCATGAGTTTTTGTTCTTCTGTGTTTGTGTGCGAGATTTTTCGCCGCGAGATTTCGAATTACTGAACGAGTGGCGTACAACTATCTAAAAAAACCGGGTCTTTGGAACGTGAAAAGATGATGTGACGGGCGGAGCGCAGAAACGTTAATCTCTCAGCGTAGCAACCTCCGCAAAAAGAAAAAAGAAAATCCTGCAAGGTAGGTTCGGCCATCTGTGTCTTCCCTACGTTCGCTTGAGAACCGCGCAACATCTTTGAAAAGTCAACATTGCATACGTCCAAATGGAAATTTGCGGTTGTTCTTGTTTTTCTTTCCCCCGCCCCTCCTCTTTTTTGTGTCAAATGGGTTAGTCTTTTCATGCTTGTACGCAAACTTAAAAAAAAAAAAAAAAAAGGAATCAGCGAGCCGAACCTTTATTTGAGGTGACGGCATAAATATCTTGAGCTGTTTACGCAGCGATGTTAATGCGCTCGGCACGGTCCCAAGTCCAAGCAGGAAGCCACGTATGAATCTCACGTCGCGCTCGCTCGGATATAATCGGTGCCGCGGCGTCTTCCCGGGAAGACAGCGGCAGTGACCTTGCCGAGCTTCCGTTCTCGTCTCGTCGGAGCGGCCGAGCAACGTGCCCCGCATCACGCCGGGGCGTTAAAGCTCGCTCGCCGTTAGCACGCCGCAGTTTCGCCGTAGAAATATATATACACGATTGCGAGAGCAGCTAACCCGTTAGCCCTATTTCCGGAAACACAGTCGCAAGTCATACAATCAAACGAATCGTGTGCGTCTACTTTCGGGCAAAGCACTCTGAAGAGCAATTCGCGCCCCATTCTAAGGACGACAAAGCTAAAACTGTATCTAGACCAAGAAAAACAAAAAAATAAAAAGAAGAAAAAGAACGGTCTGCAGTTGTGTTTCTTGTGGTTACATCATCCTCAATGTCACACAGCTTGCTGTTTTTTTTATCGACTTTTTAACTTTTCTCCGAGCCGCGCCCCCTCCGTAAATTGCAAGAATAAAAACACTCAGTTTTTTTTTTCTTGTTTTTTTTTTTTGGAGCGTAGTTAAGGACAGCCTCAGAAACGCTGAACGTGGCGCGAAACGTGGCGAGTCCTCGCCGTCTTACTCTTGTTCCACGGTCGACCAGAATCGGCAATAGCTGATAGGAAACACCGAAGGACGACTCCAGAAGCAAGAAAATGGAGTATAACAACACGCGCCCCGCGTTTATTATGGTGTCGTTGACTAAAACGAGGCGTATAACTGCCGAATCGCGGTGTGAACAATGTCGAAAGCACCAAGTTAAGCCGGTAGCATTAGATTGACGGTCTCCCTACACGAGCGCCCTTGCAGCCGAGGTGGGATAGAAACCAGGGAGGCTACACTGGTATTTGGCTGCTGGTGCACCACTATTTGCGTGAATTTGCCAAATAAAGCTAAATGTTATAGTTCAGTTCTTACAGGCTAAAGTTGATTTAAGCGGTGCGTTATATTCTATGGGATGCCACGAAGTTGGTTAATTCGAGAAACAAAACCGATGTAGCAAGTTCCGATCCTAATTATGTCCGTTTGCCCAGGAAAAATAGGAATCTATAGAGTTCTGGAAATAGGTCCGTAAAAGGTCTACGCAAATTATTATGAACTATCGCTAATAAGTAATACCTTGAATAAAGGTTTTTGGTTAAAGTTTGCCTTTTGGTATTTCAGACCCTTCGGTGAATCGAGACTGGAACTCGGAGGCAAATGCGGCAGTTTCAAGGGACGATGTCAAATATTTTTAATCCTGTAAGCTTTCGTTCTTTAGCTCTTACGTTTGCCCCGGGTCCAACTAGCGTTAAAAGACTAAGATGTACTTGATGGTTATTTTTCATCGCTTACCAGAACACATAGGGAAGAATCAGAACGTTGAGAGAATCACTCTTTATTGTGCTCGCGTATACACAAAGACAGGTAGCCCAGTAAAATACAATGAAACTAAACCACAAACAAGAAACATAGAAGAAGAAAAAGACTCAAGAAAGAAAAAAAAAGCAATGACGAGGTGAAAGATCAACGGAGGACTTCTACTACCAGGAAAGGCGGGCAGCCGTTAGGTGCATCTTGGCACTTGAAGGAATAACGAGAAGAGAATCAGCCAACAAAACCCCAACAAGGTACCCCGGATGACAGAAGTACAAAAACCCGCAAGAGAGACGAACGCTGCCGCGTATTGATTTTTTGCTTCCGTTATTTCTCTAGCTCAACCGGGGGAAACCGCCGCTTCGGTCAAAGCAACGGTTTTCGTGCTGACGATTCAACAACAGTAAAAACAAACCACACAAACAAACAAGAACGACACAAGACAGACATGAGGTAAGGAGGAGTAGCACACGCACCTGACGAACGGGACCCAAGCAGAAACACGAGAGGAGTCACATCGCAGAAAACCAGGAAGACAGGGGAACAGATTACAGCAATGGAGGAGGAAGGTTTGGGGGGAATAGAGTGTGGGGCGGGAAGAGGGAAGAAAACTTTACACAGCGCCGGCGTCTGTTGAGTTGCAGACGACGCGCGACATCTTTGATCCGTCGACGATCGTATATACGCGTGTGTACGACCTCACACAAGCGTCATGGTCGAAGCGGGGTTGGCGAAGCGTCGTAAGGTCTTGTGGTTCGTCAAGCCCCTGGAGCCTCCGGGTGCCGTTCAACCGCGGGCTCGGTTGGGCTCGTTGGCGATGGCGGCCTCGGGTCCTGGCACAGCGCTGGACTGGATGGTGACGTCGGCGGGGTTCTTGGATTCGGTTCCCACCTCGCTGGTCACCACGTCGGCGTGGAAGCCGGTATCGTCGGCGAAGTATGTGACGGTCCTGGAGGTTCCGTCGGGGTGCGTCAGGGTGTACTTGCCGGTGACTTTGCCGTTACCGTCTCCGCTTTCCTCGTGGGAGTGGCTACCGTCCTCGAGTTGGGAGAGGTACTGGTAGGCGTACGGGATCGGAGGGTAGTTCTCTCCACCGGCTGGACCTCGCTGGGCGACCTGCAAGCAATGGACCAGACGGAGTGAAGAAAGGGTGTTGCGCGTTTTTGTCTTGTACATCAATTGAGAAGTTTCGGGACAGTCATTCGCGCCCCATGTGGTGTTTTATAGCTGACACGACTAAGACTAAGACTAAGCAGCGAGCTGGTTCAGGTAGCATATATATATTAAACCAAAAACTACGGTCGAGAAAAGAAGACAACACAAAATATGACTCAGTGTCCCTCCTTCACGTGTCTTCCTTTTGCTTTCCTGCCTCAGGTTCAGTGATATCAAGTATTCACACCCTCGCCTGCCCACTTGCTCTTTCGGTAATGGCACAGTCCTTATGTCAGATGAACTCCACAACGTACCAGATGGTTCACACCATCATTGTGTCTAATGAACACGTCACCTGGTACTCTACGTACGTCACGAGTATGCATTCATCAGTCCTTATACCTATATATATGGTCTTTTGTTCGAACAGTCACTGCTGGACGTCCTAGAAATTATAACAAGCCAAAAACATTTTGTTATTTCGGGGGTACTCCTACTTTGGACGGCCAATAGAAAACATCGAGTTCCGACGAACTTTGTCGGTCACCGTTGTTTTGCCAACACATTCGTATGTGTTCAACCATTTACCTTGGGGTAAACGTTTAAACATGTATTTAAGAGTTTGCCTTAAGGTAAATGCTTAAGCACACCTTAAGGCGAACATCGAAAAGACGAATTTGTCACGAGGAAACTTGCACATAATTTTGCTAATTGTGCCTTTTGGCAATTCACCAATTCGGTTATGCCTGGTACAACGCCAGCATTAAGTAAAACAATGTTGTATGGCAGTAAGTGCTTACAAAAAGCTAATTGTATCCCAATACCAATACACAGCAAAAAAACTTAAGAACCCAAAGCAAAAAACCCAAGAAGTCAAGAAAATATAATTGGACTCATGATAACATACACGAGTGTTTTCGTTCCGCGGCGTCATCTCAGTCAAATTAGGCACCTACAGAGACGCCGATAAAAGAAAAAGTGCGGTCGCGTGATAACCGTGAAAATCACATGTGGGAAGAGAGCTAAATAATTGGAAGGCGTATTCCGTGGCGGTGTGAAAACGAAGATATGAACTAATCTCACCAATCTGCTAATGTAAAAAAATGCGCTGGCCAAGACACCTTATTATTATAATGACCGACTAAAAATCACTTCCTCTGTCGATCTTGTGCTAACGTTCAAGCCTGTTTTGCTTATTGGAGCGTGGCGTACAGCATGCACTATCGTAGAGCAGCTCTTTTATTGTCAGGCCCACGAGGTCATAACTTCCAACGAAGGCAGAAAATCTAGTAGTAAGATAAAATGTTAGGATCCGCAGAATGAAACGAATGAAGGGTGGTAGGCATACAAAATAATCAAGAATGTCGACATAAATAAATGCAGAAAGCGAGCTATAAAACCGGGAGCGAAATTGCAGGTGACATATCACGATATATTAGTTAGGGCGAGATTTAATGCGAAAAGCGGGATAAGTGGGAAGCTGGTAGGCAGACTAAAACAGGCTTGGAAACTCGGAGATCGTTCAAGAAGAACATTTTTACACATATAATCTACGACATTTTTAGGGGGAGGTCTCTGTTGTTCGATGCCAGTACGGGGGCGCTGCGGCCGAGGATGTACCGTGCTAGATATCAAGTGATATAAAAAGGTTGGGGTGTGTGTATGTTTATACAACCTAGAACTTAGTCTGCCTCATCGGGCGACTTGTCTCCCAGCTGTAGATGAGAAATTTAGCCAGTGTATTACAACCGCTAGCCTGGGGTCTTAAACGTGCATCATGCAGTAGACACGACCGCACGCGGGTACGATGCTCATCCAGATCAAAACGGGCAGGGTGGGATTGAACCCAGCATCCCTGGGTTCTGTAGCGCGAGCTTTCGCTCCACTTGCTCCGAGCTGCAGTGTGCGCTAACCCACTCGGCCACCGATCCCTCCTCAAGATATATACAGAGTATGTGGCGTGTGTTGAGAGGAGGATGAAACGGCTGATCACTTGATATACTACCGTTAAAAAGGTGGCACCCTGCAGTAGAACCGAAAGAGAGACGGATTTGGTCAAGACACCGGGGTTGAAGGACAAGGAGGGCAAGCTCAGGCCGTCATGCGTTAAAGATAAGCAAGCAGATGTTATCCACTCTAAGAGATCTGGAGGGTATGCTTTCGCGCGAAGGATTTGGGAGAGTCAATCGCTGTAATCTGCGGAGGGCCCTCCGTGAATGAAGAAGCTGATAATATGTTTACGCACCCCTTCCCTCCCCCCCCCCCCCCACACACACACACACAAAGAAAAGAAGAAAAACAAAACAAGAAAGAGACGGTTTGCGCTGTGGCACTGAGAACGGTGAAAGGACATGCTGAGTGCAAAGCTTTTTTTAATGTTTAAACATATTATAAGCATTGTCATGCGCCGAGCGCCCTCCGTACATTAAAGCGATTGGCTCTTCCATACGTTTTGTGGGAAAGCAGACGCTCCCCAATTCTTAAAGTGTCCAACTGGCGGCATAGGTCGACGGAAGCATGCAATATTTTCCTATTTCCGTGATAATCACCCTGGCGGAACACGCCCGTCCCCGGTTGCGAAGAGGGCGCTTCGGTCAGACAGACCGGAATGTTTAATGAATGATATTACTAAAAGGCTTACGCTTAATACGTGCATTAGCAGATGAGGTTAAAATACCTGCTAAATGGCGCAAACCTCCACCCGATTCAAAGTGTTTAACTGTAGGTACATCATCACACGCACACGCACACAAATAGAACTGGATGTAATTACGTAGTCGTAATACGAGTAGTAAGCGTAAGTAAATGTCACTTTTGGTGGTGGCGTCCTCGCATAGAGTGCCAAGCCAGCTCTTTTAGTGTGCGTTGAGAGTTTATCTGAAATCCCGGAGCTAAGAAAAGAGTCAAAAATTGTTTAAGAAATCTGCTTTTTTCTCGTGTATAATCTTTGCATAAAGAATTTACGCAAGGAAATAGTACTTGAGACCCTGTACGGCGGCTTTAACACGACGCACAAAAAGTAGAACATGCATTTTGTTGTTTTCGTTATTTGTTTGAAACACAAGTCACGTGACGGTGTTAACCTACAGAAATAGAAAGTGTGCCCTTAACAAAGACATTATATTTGTTATTTGTGATTTACATGCACTAAATACCCCTGTTTTAGGGAACGTGTGCAGAAGACAAGCGTATTTTCCACGTTTCTGGTTTAAGGCGTTGATCGGTTAGTTTTTCACACATCTGTTCCAGCGTTTAGCTCAATTATTTTGATATTGCAAACGTACGTGCTGCACCGGCAGGGGGATATGCAGTAAAGAGTACTTACGGCTACGCAGACGCAAGCCAGAAGAAGTGCGATCTGAAACATTTCCAAAAAAAGTTCAGAACGAGAGTAGAAACGGGTCAGCCATAGGACAAAATAAATATAATACTAAATGAATTCCGCTCAGCTCCAGGTTAATACGGTAGGGATATTGAGGTAACATACGTGCGCACACTTAGGTGGATACGGTTACGAAATACGGATCTATGGCTCTACAGATTTATGGCTTTCCATTCAGAGATTGGGTGTAAATATTTAGCCACACCTTGATAATTTCTGAACAATACCGGTTGCACCCTTCATCGCTATATATAAATTAGACTGTTCTTTGTTGCTCTGACTCTGACATTGGGTCGTGAGAATTTGAAACGGCTTAAAACAATGTCATTCTATTTTATTTTCAGAGCACGCTTAACGTAAGAAATAATCAGTATCCGCGTATTCTCTCAAAATCGAATATTCATAGTTAACGGCCTCCTGAATTTTTTTATGTTGTTTTGTTTCGTTTTAAATCTTGACATCTAATTTCAGAGCTCGTCCTAGATTTAAAACCCCATATATAGTCTGGAAAAGCAAAAATATAAAGCGCAACTACAGTACCGAAAGAAAAGAAAACAATGAACATAAAAAGTCAGCTTGAGGTGGACGAAGGGTCGTAATCCGAGATAGGCGCGGACGGGGTCCCCGCTCCGAAGCCGTCCAGCCGAACCGAACGTCCACCAGGACGAGGCGGAGCAGCGCGCTGGGGCGTCGGCGGCGAGGTCGACACCGTTTTCTCTAACTCACCTTGTACATGATGGACGCTTTTGGAGGCAGGTTTCTCCTACAAAGGCAGTCAAATATAACCAGTGAAAAGGTGCAGCGCTCATCTGCTCTTTTATAGCGGTCCCGCCGGGCGCCGGCCGTCTGCCTCTGACCAATGGGAGACCGCTGTCCTACATTGCGCAATAGCGCCGCGAGCGGAGAGCCCTGTGCGCCCTATGCCCCCACGAGAAGAGACCTTCCCCTTTCCCCGGTAACAACAATAACAACACGGTTTTTTCTCTGCTGAAGGAACGCTATGGCGACGGCCAAGAGGTTGAAGCGGGCAGCGACGGCGGGGGTGAGAGGGGGAGGCAGCGAGGAAACAACTTTCGCCGTAGACTCGTCTCCACCGGGATCACAGGATATCCCTCTGAGGCAGCAGCTGAGAAACCCGTCGGAAGGGATGGCATCTTCCGCCCTGTGACCGGAGAAAGAGAAGAGGGAGGGAAAAGTGGTTTTAATGATGCACGACTTCCCTACTTAGTATTCGTTTCATTTCGGTTATTTTTCTGCTTTCCCTCGGTATATGATCAAAAAGTATGAGGACGAGACATTGGCTCCTGACCCTGTGCGGCGGCGGCGGTCGGTCACTTCTTGGCACATGAGTAAACGATTTCCGAACTGAACATATGTTGGATTCAAGCGTTGAATATTCCTTACGGGCGCATGGCGTCTTTTGCCGCCGCGGGGGAGAAACCTCATGAACGCGAGCGCAAAACGATCAAACACTCTGGATACCCGCTATGTTTGTCAGTGAAGAGGCAGAACATGCAGCAGTCGTATACTTTAGACATCGACCACGAACGAGAAGCGCTATAATCATAGTTACACTGGTATAAATTTTCAGCTGTCGATAGTTAAGCATTGAAATATGCACTTACATATGCGCCTTAGTTACTTATAAAGGTCGGTCAGGCTTGGCTGGGACCTTGTATATTCACGGAGGGAACAAAATATTCCGACAAGCAGGAGGCAACGTCTGTGCATGGAAGTGTTCCACGTGCGCGTAGAGGTACCGCTGCCATCGTTTTTGACAACTCCTTGATTCTTATAGCGTAGGAAACACTGGGCTGCGGGACGGCAGCCAGACGAACACGTCCGTGCGTTTCATCTATCACCAGTTCTCGCCCTTCGCCAAACTGCTGACACCATTCGTTTTTTCATGACGGTGACATTTTCTATTCCTCATAGTGTGCGCGCAATATTGTTAAATGTCAAATGGTTTAATTTACTTCTTCACCAGAAATTTGATATTGCAGCGCTACTCCACAGATGCAACCACATTGCTGGCATCCGTGATAGCTGGACCTGTTGCGCCCGCGTAAAATACATTGCTTCGTTCTTTCGCCGAATATCCAAGAAGTATTACGTAGAGGTCCTCCGCAAGTTTTATTTTGCTGCAGACACGTGCCATTTAAGACGAACGTGCACAAGGAATGATTCTATCTCCATTATTAAAAACAAAAACAAAAAACATTCATACTAATTAATGTTCAACAGTTTTTTCGTCTTCAAGAACTTTTCTCAACACGAGAAGATCCCCATCTGCTATGCGAGTGTTGGTCGCGGTCCCAGAATATTTGTTAGTGTATCATCAGGCGCCGCTAGCCTAATTTAATGAGTCGTGTTTTTTTTTTCTCTATATGGTGGGTGGCACTTCAATAAAAACCGATGTATATTTTCGTCTTATGCATACTTCACGCGAATTTAGTAGAATTAAACGAAAAATACGTTAAAACAATCTGGCTGTATAGGCTTCTTTAGAATGCAGTTTTTGGAGTATCGTCTTTATTAAGCAATGAACTGCTGTGTGTGCATTGAATTCGGAAAGTTCAGGCCTACTTTATGTAACATAGATTGCGTTTTTGCGTTTAGCACGTGTTATGAAATAATTACTTGGTGTCGTTTGTTGTGTCTGAAGAAAGCGGCACGAGGTGATAAACAACTGTGTCAAGTGTGCGTTTCAAGATGATCGCTGTACACTGTAAAGCAGTGGTCGGAAACTCATTTGAGTGTGGGGGCCAGATAGCAGACACCGGAAAGGTCGAGGGCCAACATAAGCGCCGGGGGGGGGGGGGGGGGGGGGGCTTAAAATATTTGAATGAGAAAGGAACTCGTGCTCTATGCTTTTCGTAAACACAGTTTTGCCAATGACATCTTTAGATTTGATTTGTTTATATGACTACTTTGGGGCCTGACGTAATGTGAAAACAGGATACCTATGTTCGACTTTCGAGCTACTTGAGACAGAAGTGACGTAGGGGTAGTAGGAACGTAACCGAACAACGGCGCGCACCGCGGAACCACCCTCTTTGACGCCGAGACGATATGGCGAGAATGGCGTCTGCCACTCTTTTGAGAGACGTCAAGGGCCAACCCCCGGAGAACGGAAGGAGCTACGCTGTCCCCCCTGCCGTACCTACGCTTTCCCGGTCGTACCTACGTGGAACATAGTCCCTACGCGAGCGTCCGTGTCTCCGGCAACCGGAAGAGCTTTTCCTCTTTTTAGTGGAGCAACGGCAGCCAATGTTGCGTCGCATCTATTTTAAAATAAACTTCTAAAATAAAAAAAAAAAGCTCCTCGTTGCGGGATAATTATCGTAGGTTAACATAAAGTGCAATATAAATAAAAAAAAACTAAGTGTTGGGTTAAACTTATTGCGGAGGTCGCTCCGAAGCTGCGAATCTCCGCATCAGCTGTTACGGAACATGGGGGACACCTGTGAGGAAGCGACCAAAAACACGTCTGCGGAGTCGTAGACGTAACGTATTGTTGTTGTGACACCACCGTACCTGTCGGAGCTACTTAACCGATCTAAATTAAAAACTCGGCTACTATTGGGACAGCATTTCCAGCTTCTTGAGCCCCGACTTTGCCACAAGACTGTGGCGAAGCGCCTGAAGATAACCCAAGCAGCACAGAGTTGGCCAGTCATCGGCCAATGGCTGGAAATGGTCCTTGGCCAAGTGGCCAGACAGTGGCCAGAGACTGGCCGGTGACTGGCCTTTATCTGGCCATTGGCCAATGGCCACTGGCCATCAGCCATCGGCCAAGCATTGGCCAATGAATGACCACTCTCTGGCCACTGGCCAAAAGACCATCGCCAGCCATTGGCCATTGCTTGGCCAAAATCCGTGCAGCTTGGGAAGGCACTCGCTCTCCTCAAATCCTGCGTCCCGAGACCCTACTTATAGGAAGAAGGTAACTACAAATAACAGTCTACGCCTGCTATCGCACGGCACTTAGTGGGACAGTCTGTGCTGCGCCTTTCAGGCAACGCACCAAGCACAAGTATCACTAATGTACAATCCGTAAAATCACTAGCACGGGAGGGTGAGCTCGCTTAAAATCCCATTCGCGCAAGCTCTCCTTCAAAGGCGAGCAAAAGTTATCACCATGATCCTCTTGCTCTTCAATGTGCATGAGCGCCTGAAAGAGATATGAAAACGACCTAGATAAAAGTGCGTGCGCGTCAGCGCGTTTCACAGCTTGTTTTCTTACAACCAGAGGTCGGCATTTTAGGTCGCCCTCACTCACCCTCACATTCACAGCCACACTCACCTAAGCCCCTCACTCACCCTCACCCTCACAGCTACACTTACCTTCAGCCCCTCACTCACCCTCATCCTCACAGTCACACTCACCTTCAGCCCTTCACTCACCCTCACTGAACCTCACGGCCCTCACGCACTCATGGCCCTCACGCCCCTCACGCACTCACCACCCTCACGCACTCATGGCCCTCACGCCCCTCACCGCCCTCACGGCCCTCAGGCGCTCATACCCCTCACGCCCCTCACACACTCATGGCCCTCACGCCACTCACCGCCCTCACGCCCCTCACTCATTCATGGCCCTCACGCCCCTCACGCACTCACCGCCCTCACGCCCCTCACTCACTCATGGCCCTCACGCCCCTCACGCACTCACCGCCCTCATGGCACTCACGCACTCACCGCCCTCATGGCCCTCACGCACTCGTAGCCCTCACGCACTCATAGCCCTCACGAACTCACCGCCCTCATGACCCTCACGCACTCACCGCCCTCATGGACCTCACGTACTCGTAGCCCTCACGCACTCATAGCCCTCACCCACTCACCGCCCTCACGGCACTCACGCACTCAACCCCTCACACCCCTCACGCACTCATGGCCCTCACGCCACTCAGGCCCGCTTCATATGGGACAATTTCGCCCAGAAACTTGACGTCGCAACGCCATGCAGCATAACGGGCCGCCCACGTTCACACACAGCAACCAATTGCTCTAATTTGCCATCATCATCATGAAATTTTATTTTTCTTGCACTATTTATGTAAGGCCCGCTTTAGACGGGACAACTTTTCCAGCAATTTTGAGGTTGTTGGCGGGCTGTTCCCTAACTTTCCCTAGATCGACACGAATAGCTGAAATCGGGTGCGGCTCGAAACGGACGATCAACTCGAACAACTCGGAGCCATTTGAAGCGGCAGCAGCCAATCAGAGACCCAATATTTTCACGTGACACCCCCGAGGTGATGATGATGAGACCTAAAGACTTGGTTCTGGTCTGAAATCGATAGTTTTTTTGGAAATAAACCTTTTCGGAAAGATTAAGTATTCTAAACGCCGCTCAAAGATATAAAAACACGTTTTTAGCTCGTAGCCTCGCGTCTAAATAGTGAAAAAAATAATTCAAAATGAATGATGATGATGGCAAGTCGTAGCAATTCGGTTGCTGCGTGTGAAAGCTGTCGGCCCGTGTTGCTCGTGTTGCGACGTCAAGTTGCTGGGTGAAATTGCTCCATCTGAAGCGGGCCTAAACGTGTTTTTATGTGTTTAAATCTCGTTGAGAATACCAATGCATCTTTCTGAAACAGTTTATTTCCAAAAACGATCAATTTCAAACCAGTACCAATTTTTTGTTGTCATCATTACCGGCACGAGGTATCTCGTGAAAATATTGCGTCCCTGATTGGATGCAGCCGCTTCAAACGTCTTGGAATTGCTCCGAGTTGCTCGCTTGTTTCGAGCCAGACCCGATCTCGGCAATTCGTG